CGATAGGAGCAGATTTGAACCTGTGCGCATGTAACATACGTTTGTGTGTGCATGTGTTCCAGTGTGTCAACACAGTCTGAATGAACTCTTGGATATTTACCCTCTGGTAAATTCACATAGACCCTGAAACTGACCAATTTATAGTGGAAACTAGTCTTCCAACTTCCAACCCCTATCTGCCAGGGTCTATGTTAATTTATTGGAGGGTAAGTCAAGCTACAGCAAGCTGATGTACAGCATTGCAGATGGAAGATGATCTGGTGAAAGATCTGCTGCATGCCATGCGACGAGACATCCAGTGACATTTTGAGTCAACAAAGATAACAAAGCAATACAAAGCATATATCTGGAATGATGTGCCTTATTCCAGGGTGAATGATACTTATTCATATTTATTCATCGAGAATGATCAATTTGACATTCATTGTTTTTGTTTGAATTCTTGAAAAAGTCGCTTAGGCATAGCCATTAGTGCCAGGGGAAACCCACGAGCTTTGTGTTTTTTTTCATGTTGATTTCCTCCATTTGAAACCACGGACATTGAGACTTCCCGTCCCATCTTCGGATGGATGGAGACTTAAATTCTGGTCAGTTTGGAACTCCAAAAAAAAGGTCGATCATTCTTGGATCCATTGGGGGGGGTTCATCTCAAAGTTTCTGGAGCGTGGTGCCAATGCTCAACTAGCCTCGTCTAAGAGTTGCGTCACTGGCAGGACTACATGATGGAGAATCAGGACTGGGGCTGCCCCGTGTCGATGGGATGTTTTTTGGGGGATGTTTTTTGGGGGATGCAGCGACGCATGTCAGATGAATTTCCAGGGATCCCCAGATACAAACCTGTACTTACCCTCTGGTAAACTAACATAACTATGGAAAATCACCATTTTTAATGGGTAAATCCACTATAAATGACCATTTTCAATAGCTATGTTAAATTACCAGAGGGGACTACCCTTGCAATGAAACCTGGTAATGAAGAATCTGGGTCCAGCTTATCCAATGTTGGAGCGCTCGGCCGTGTTTTCACATGCACCCAGAGACCTCCTGAGGAGTTTGCCGAGCACCCACCCCCACAAGAATCAGAACTAATCAGAAGCCCGTAACCAAAAATGGGATTGTTTAGTTTAGCACAGAAAGATATAGAAAAATAATGAAACATAGCAAGATCAGCAGGTGCCAGCCTCTTCAGTTCTTCACCAAGCCTATCTACGTGGAATGTATGTGAAAGGATGCAACAAAGCTAGACAGTCACAGGTGCACATAGACTGCGGACGGCTGACTCGTGAAGTACGTTGCAAGTACCGACGCGAACATGTGGTAGTTGGCTATACACATATATACATCCACATCCACTAGTATCCACTATATGGTATTGATATTGTATTGAGGTGTTTTGTTCTTTTCAAAAATCACCCAAAGTTGGGCAAATGGATGATATCACCATGTCAGCACCATTGAGAGGACTTGATCCTTCCTCCCAAGAAGAAGAAAAAGAAGCCGCCACCAGATGAGGCAGAGGTGCAACCGCCCTGGGGGCCCAGGGCCATTTATGCTTTTGTTTTGCCTTTACTGTTGCGATTTTTTTCGTAAAGATGCTAGACCTGTTCAGCATCAGTTGCAAAGTCTTACAGGTCATGATAGGTGACGACATGTGACGACTACATACAGGTCTGTCGTATCTCCTTATAATAGGTTGGTGGGATGATACGACAGACTTGTCAGACGACACATTGCAAGATGGCAAGCCATTTTAGTCGTGAATCTTCAGTGGTCAAAATCACAGCGCTCCAAAGAACTTTCATGTTCCTTTGCGCCTTCTCAAAAATGGTGGACGACCAACGTTGTGTTATTATTTTCCTGAAAAGGAGCCATGTTCAATATTGGTGAGGGATGTCTGGTACGCACATGGATAGTAATTCTACTTGATATATCCATATAGTCCATATACATCCAATGCTGCCCGGGCTACTGCGTTTCTGAAACGACACCGCCTCCACGGATTCAGGGCGACGCTTTTGGTTTCTGAGCCCCGGAGATTTTCAACTTTGGTCCCCAAAGTGGGAAGCCTCTTTCTGCCACCAAGGCTGCCATGGAATCCCCCATGGCTTGATCCATAAAATGGCAGACATGATTGAGATGATCATTCATGTGAGCTCGAGCATTAAATCATTTTCAATCTCGCTTACAAGACTCCTCGTGGGATGCACATTTCATATATATATATAGTTATAATATAATTATGTATATATATATATTACAGGCCCAATTTTCTGCTTAAAGTTTGTCATTGTTCACTCTGTCAACATATGTCAAAATCTGGTCCCCTGTCAAAATCTGGTCCCTAGCGCTAAAAGTGCTGGATGCTTCGGCGGTCGTGAAATGATGTGCTAGCGCTGCCCCCATTGAGAAGGATGTGTGAGCCATCAACCAAATCTGGTGTTAATGATGGTTAATGATGGTTAATAATGTCTGGTTGGCGGTTTGGAACATGGCTTTTCTTTTTTCCATATATTGGGAATTTCATCATCCCAACTGACTTTCATATTTATTTTTCAGAGGGGTAGGTATACCACCAACCAGAAATAGTTTTGGCTCAAACATATTATTTACCTCCTAGATTGCATTGTTTGATGATTATCAAACATGGTCAAGTGTGTTGGTCCGTTTGTATCCCGTTTTTTAGCGCCAAATCTCACTGCTGAGTCCAAATGTTTCCCGAAGTGGACATGCTGAGAGCAAGTCACTTTGGAAGCAGACCTTTTGGGGCAGTTGGTTCTGCACTTGCATGTTGCAATGCCATTTACTACGTAGGTTTTGCCAATTACATCCAATTACTATATGGTTTTGAGATGTTTGGGAAATCCACTTGTAACTGGATGCCACTGTTTTTTCATGGACAGCCAGGTTTTCAAGTGCCCGGATCTCACGGCTGGTTCGGCTTTAGCCGCTGTTCATAAGCGTCATCTCCAGGGCAAGATGGATCGCCCCGAAAGATTGACCCAAGGATCAATGGATGGCATTGGATGACTAGATTAGCATGATTAGCTGCACACCAGAATGTACATGCTCAAATAATTATACAAATTGGTCCCACATGTCCGGCAAACACTGAATATGTTTGAGCCATGGAATTTTCCGCGAAACAGAACACCCCAAACTCAGAGCCACAGGCAAGTCAAAGTGTATTTCGCTCAAAATGGGGTAGAGGTTTTTGAAGGATTTTGATCGACCGCAGGCAATCCTTTGGAAAAGAGCATACAATGGTCTGTTTTTTGAGTTGGGTGGCCCTCATTCAACCTGGTTGGACCCAAAGAACCGATTGTTAAACACAAACGAGAAACTATCAAGAAACAGCTATCGCAATAAGCTGTGCGCATTGAGAAGAGAAGTGCTGGCGATGGGAACGCATACTTTGAGGCCAGCTGAGCAGTTGGTTTATAGCGTTCCTCAGGGTCACTTGAGTCACTTGAGCATTGGTGGAGCCTGTGTTTAGTGGATCTCAGACTTGGTTTATGTTCTTTTGACCAGAAACACTGAAGCATAATTGATGGGAAAAAAGATGGAACACAACATGGAAAATCAATGTAATGCCATAATTTGCCATAATCATCATCCATCATGCACATATAATTGATCATTCTAGCAACCGTCAGAAAGATATAATATAACAAAGCAAGATTTTGTTCTAACATATTGTTAATCTATAATAAACAAATACCTAGCCTATCTTTTCTTTGTTGGGGTTTACTGTATAGACTTACTGTCGCGCTCAGGTTCCCATTGCTGAGTGCGGCGCTCCTTTTAGGCGCTGTAGCTGTTCCAGGGATGTTTGGAGCTACTTCTGATGAATTTGATCAGCTGGGAGGTCATGGATATCCAACCAATAAAACTCTTTGGTGGTTGATCAATGCTTTCTTGTGTTCAATCATACTTGGGATATCTTGGGATAGTGAAACCAATTGGATCGGCTATATTTTTGGGACGGGGGAAACCCCTAGCCTGGAGCCGAAAGAAACAAGTCATCCAGGCCACGGTAGAAGAGGCATAACAAGAAAACACCAGACCTCCAAAGCGTGTGTTTAAGTCATGGTGGCTGAAAGAGCAACGCCACACCCATAGGGCAACAGATCCTCTTGTTTCTGTATGCTTTTATTCCTTCATGCTGCGCCTGGCTTTGTTGTGCTGGATGGGCGCTGTGCGGTGGTTTCTCAATCTACGTGTGGGGCTTCTAACGAATGCTGCAATATGTACATATATGTACTGTATCCAGTGTAGAAAACATGATATCGCTTGTGTATTCAGATGGGTCTGTCCGGCCCGTGGGCACTTATGCTGTCTCATTCCCGTGTTGGTGTCGAAGCAGTAAAATGATCCAAGCTGGATCTCATTAGGCCAGTTGAAGCCGCCGAACCATGCGCCCGATTTGCAGGCGTCGGTTTCAGCTTATTTCCTGCCTTTGCAGGCCCACCCTGGGATGGTTTCAGGGTCCTGGAAGGACTGGATGAGTTCCCATCCTCTGCCAGATCCCAGCTTCCTCTTTTGGACAGTACCGTAATAACTGTTCATTTGTATACCTTTGTTTGATGTTGTTTATTTTCCTACCATCTATATCTATATCTATAATTATATTCTATTATAATTATATCCTGTACCATAGCACTGGATGCCCTGGATGCCCTGGGTTTTGTGGGGTCTTAGACTCCCAGGGACTCAACGAAGTTCCCTGGTGTCACCCAGACGTGGTGCCAGACACGGTGCTCGGGTAGGCGGGACTCCGGGACCGAAGGATCGGTTTAGCGGGATACCTCCAGGTGAGTGGGGCAGATGTACGTTAGTTTCAATATGGATAATATATGGATAATATATGGATGATCTCGGATAATATATGGATGATCTTGGATAATATATGGATGATCTTGGGTATTGTACTGCAACTTTTTTGTTCTGTGTCCAAATGCGGCCAAAAGAAGAGTTCGATCATCCTGAGAGTTGTAGTCTCCATGGCCTTCCTTTCAGGTCTCTGCGGCTTGAAGGTGTGGTGTCGAGCAGCAAGGGGTGGTGACAATGGACAGAAGGGTCCCTTCCCCCTATCGTTGGACAGCCCCTGGAAACCATGGCTTAGTAGGGGATAAGAACTTATTTGGGAGGTGTTAATATGTTAATAATGGGGGGATGGGATTATTTCGATGCTCTAGGCGTTTTGGGGGTACATGAATTATGGTGAATTTTGAGCCGTGCCCAAATGGATTCCACGAACATCTGTAGTCTATAGTGTGCAGGTATCACTACTACATTGGTGAAGTGATATCGAAATCACCTCTTGCTCGTTCGATGAATGCTGATGATTCGATGCAAAATCACCACTGATTCGGATACAATCAGAGTGTTGGAATGCTGAGTGTTTGCTCCAAGACCTTTGATGCTGGATCTTTCGAACTTTGAATTATAGGAGCTTGATCTCGATCGGACATCTTCGGACATGCTTGGTGAAATGGGTCAGCTCTTCATTCGGCTGTTTGAAGCAATCAGTGCTTTTTTTTCATGCTGAAACCGTGCATGTTGTATCATGTTGTGAGGTGATGGTGATGTTTAACATATTTTTCCGGGTAGCCGGGTAGTCTGTGAAGTATGCTGACTTCGTGATTTACTTCTGGCAACATGATGCAACATGTATTTCGACTGTAATCACAATGTAATCACCATGTATTGCAATTCGATTGCAATTAGATTGCAATTAGCTACTATATGTATAATTATATGATTCTATGCTGTAATAAGTATTAATAAGTAATTATATGTATACATATATAACATGTTATAACTTATATTGAGGATCTTCTATCGTACATTATTCTTTTCGTAACACATTTCTAGAAGATCCCCGTTTTCTCCAGGTGGATGGTGCGGTGGAACCTCTCGGCAAGTTCTTGCTGGTGAAATCCGCCGCAGCGGAGGAGGTCACCAAGGCGGCCGACGTTTGACCCGGTTGACCCGGTCCCAAACTAGTCATGGATAAGACATGGGAATTTCAGTAGCCGAAGTGGGGACTCAAATAGACTCGTACATATAATATCATATATATATATATATACATACATACATATACAATTAATTACAGTATATAAAAATATAATATGTATAAATATATATATATACATATGATATGTATAAATAGAATTAGATAGATAGATACAACAAGATACAAAAAGTATATAGAGATTTCACCAATGAATCCTGGATACGAGTTTGTGCAAACGGGATGTGCCCCTGGGGGCCCCTGGTATGTGGCCCTAAAGTGGGGAACGTGATACTGTGCACGTTGCATAGGAATGGTTTGAATTCCCAACTTCAATTGGTACCGCTTTGTGCAGTGGTATGAATCTACTTAGGCCCTAGGCATACCAGTGGTGTTAATGTCTATGGCCATGCCCATGGTAGATTCTGGTAGATTGCCATGACCATTTCTTTGTCACCGCCAGTTTTGGATAGTTATCACATGTTATCACTAAGTTATCACCCATGTATGAATATTGAACATGGGGATGGGTCAAAACCTACAATGATCTACGATGGGTCAACCTATTTCGAAGCCATTCACATCTATTTCACAGCGATGTTGGTATCCCTTGGCCGTTGCCAGGCTGGTTTGCTGCTTCCAAAGAGCCAGAAGCCCAAGCAGGGCGAGGTCGTCGCGGCTGGACCTGGTGAGGCGAACGTGGAATCCGGGCAGATGGTGCCCATGTCTGTGAAGGTAGGAGAGAAGGCCGGGAGTTGTTTCGCTTCGTTGGCATAAGAGAGATCCGATCCTGAGCCACGCTTAGCTGTGAGGATGGCGAAAAAAAAACACAACATTCTTTACCATTCACCACTCACAAAAACTTGGATGGGTTGAGAAATAAGTGATAACATATGAATGAATTTGAATGAGCATGGCCGAATTTGTATGTCGCTTGGTACCCCTATGTTTGAGCCAAACTTGGGTGCGCAGGTTGTGTGACTTCTTTTTTCCGGATTGGAAACGTAAATGTGGGTGTCGTATGGAGAGCTGGGACGGGCCAGTACTTATGCAGTGTAGGATTTCGGGGTCATTTGGAATCCGATCTTCTGGTCATCCCATGTTCAGGTCTTGTACAGCAAGCACGGGGACTTAGACCTGGGGAACTAGTGTACCGACCACATATACTGCTCAAGCAGCGACTTCGAATTGAAAAATCATGATATTGGTTCCAATATGTTCCAATGTTAAAGGATGCATTCAACGTGGCATTCGAAGGTACAGCTGGGTTGTGGTGATCGTTCAATGGTGTCATCACCATGGCCCCCAGATTCTCAGGTATGGTGGCTCAGAGACCATCGAATGCGGTGGGCAAGATCATGTCTTGGTCCCGCAGCTGCACTATTGCATGGGATGTGAAGCTAGCAGCAAGCACATTGGGGAGAGGGAGATATCAAAGATCTAACAAACAGGAACATATTACAATCAAAGATACATAATATAGACTGTACGTACATATAATTTATAATATAATATAATATAATATTATATAATATTATACAATATATATATATGATACACATATATCTTGATACCCCACAGCCAATCCCTCAAACATCAAACATCGGGGCAGCCTCCAAAGATGGGCATTTCCCGCAAAATCACGTCCAAGAAGTAGTTTGACATGGGGATACCATGCTATATTCAGGATTTTGTGTTTCACACTCTGCATCACCCCATGATTATGATCTTGCGACTGTAGGCAATTGTAGCTATATAGATCTACCATGTCATGGATCAGGTGCGGGAAGACGATGTCCTGTTGAAGTACAAAGGCGGGAGCCATAGCATGCGGAAGTGCCTTCTGGGGGTTCTTAGGACTGCTGGTGTGTTGTTGCCCCAAAAGAGGAATAAACATCTCCAGATATCTCCACATCTTGAATATATATAACCTTGACGGCCGAAGCCTTATTTTGTTTTAAGATGATTTAAGGGACCCGTCTAGGTCACTTTCACAAGCTAGACTGGTTGATAATTTGGGTGAGTTGCCATTTCCGGATCAAGGAATGATTGAGCCCAATTATACAATGAATCTGTATTTACCATCTGGTTATTTAACATAGCCATGGAAAATCACCATTTTTAATAGGTAAACCATCTATTTCTATGGGCCATCTATACCATGGCTATGTTAAATAACCACATGGTATAGATGGCTTTTGGGATGGATTGAAATCAAGAGGTACCAGGTAGAGGTGTACGTGCCAATACAGTTAACACAACCGCACAGACCAACCAAGTTCACTTGGCTCACATCCAGTGAGCAATGAAAATCCATCATTTGCATGTCATGTAATCGAACATATGTATCATATCTATATATATATATACACAATAAGAGCATATAATCAAAATTACATATATACAGTATATACATGCTGTACAGAATAGACATATCTATTTATCAACTGTTTGAATGACCAGGTGATGAGCCTGTACTCGAGAAGATCAGCATGCCTCGGGGCAAGGCGACTGAGGGAGCAGATAGCTGAAAGCTTCGTCGCCCATTTTTTTTTGCAAGGCAAAACGTAAGGAAAATGACATTCAGCTGGGCCAATACTCTTGAGTGGTGGATTTGTTGAAGATCTTTGGATTAATGAGTTCATCGGATGCATGAAGTAGAGGCTTTTGCTGATGATTTGGAAAGGAGGTTTTGGGTGATTGTCACGATGTAGGGATTCTCAATTGTGACAACACTCACACACAAATACAAAAAAAGCACATTGCATGGATTGGATCATACACACAACAATTCTTCTACTACTACCCCTACGGCTGTGTTCATTGACTTGGGAACTTGAAGGGTATTTCAAAATTCTATTGTTGTTCGTTATTCGCATGTCCGCCGGCTATTCAGCCCACTCTTCTTTGTATGATATTGTTTGTAAGTCATCCTAATAAGTCCAGGGCGACCTAAACAATGTCGCAGCACAACTAGAGCAATCCGATAATAGCTATCATGCCCAACATATCAGAAGCCCATCTAGATAGCCACAATATATCACAATATAACATGTCCAACCATTCTTGCCCCCGAGATAGATATGCACAGCTGGATGGTATGGCTTTCACCAGCAGGTGCTGGTGAAACTGCTGCCCAAGGAGCAGGTTCGCCGCCCATTGTCATCAAGGGATGGTTCAAATGTGTGGCTACCGGAAGGGGCTTTTTTGGGTTTCGCCGCTGGAAGGTGATTTTTTAAAAACGGATGTACAGTGCCTTAAATTACGGATGTAGCAAGAAACCATGAGAAACGGTAGAACCATTTGATTTGAACATGCGAGTGTATAGAACATACTGTAGGAGATGTTGTAGAACCGATAGCAATGAGTATTCTTTTTACAGTGCAGCAATGAGGCTTTGGTGATCTCATGGCTGCAGTCTTACCAGTCCGCGGCATTTTTTTTAAAATATTGTAAGATGTATTTGCATCTCATAATTGGAATGAACAAATATAGATTGAGTGTGTTCTCAATTTTTTCACAATGTAATAGTCATCTCTTGTTCTTTCAATTGACTTGCAAGTCGATGGAACTGTTCATGATTGTGAGCGTTGGACAGTGCAGCACACGGTGACTGTGCCACGTGAGGAGACCTCCTTCGGTCTGCTGCTGTCGGAAGGGGCCAATGAACAAACCACCACCGCTGGGGAGGCGCCGGAGGGACCAGGGTTTGACCAGCGCGCTTTTTTTCGCGGCTGGTCATGAAATTCACATAAATTCACGTTGATTTTCAAACATCCCGTGGTTTTGGTAATGAATGGAACTATAATCAATGGTAATCATATCTAGTTACATCATGTTACATCCAATTTTGATGCGTTCATATCGGCGAAAGACATTGCTGAATTAATCTGAATTACTGTATATTAAATCGATATATTGGACCAAAAGCAAAGTCAAAACTTTTGATTACCTTTGAACATTGGACGTTGAGCAATAACTCATTCAGCAGATGTGCCCCTCCAGAGTTCGGTAACTTAAAGGTGAATACAGTTTCTGGTACCTTTCGTGGTGTTGGAACCACTGAAAATCCAACGTCAACCAACATTTAAAGAGGGATCATCCATTTCCAATCATTTCTCCTTTTTCTCCTGTTATTTGAGGCTTGATGAATCCCAATTTCTGAATTGATGAGGTATTCGAGTTCAGCTTGTCAGGTTGTGTCGGTTGGCGCTGGAACCATCTTGGCCAACGGTGGGGACCCGCAGATTGTGATCGCTGTTAACGTTGACCATCGTTCATATGCATATGGAGTGTGTGAAAGTGGGGTATCCCAAAATGCTCATTTTACCGGGACATTGATTAACAAGTGGATTTAGGATTTTTTTCCGGGAGACCCAATTTTCAGACACCCGAAAAAAACATGGGGTATTGTACCAATCCTAGTTTTGACCTAGACTTTCCTAGAGATAATTCTTTTGTGGGGATTGTTGGGTTAGAAACTACCAAAACGTGTCAGACCTGGCATCCTGAGGCGATGAGCTTGAAGCTCCGGTGAAGGCGGTGCCAGTGGAATCCAGTGGACATGATTCGGATGGAACCGGTTGAATACCCTCCGGTAATTTAACATAGCGAACTGGAAAATCACCATTTTTAATGGGAAAACTCACTATTTCTATGGTCATTTTCAATAGCTATTTTGACATAACCAGAGGGTATTTGTTTTTTTTTTGCCAGTTTCTGCCCCCAACAGAATCCGCTTCTGCGTGATGTTTGGTTATTAGTGGTCGTGGTTCAACGTGTTTGTTTGTTTTGTTTTCTGAGCCGTCCACTTTGATGGAACCTGGTAGGCTGGTGACAAGGTCCGCTTTCGCTATGGAGATGAGGTGGGGGATGGCACCTCATTAGGAACATATCTTGAGATAATGGGCACCCAAAGAGTAAAGAATGAAATATGTGGATATTAACCTCATGGATCAGGCTAATCTTCACGACATCATTTGTCCACTTTTTGTTGGTGATGATTCCAATCAGCCGGTGAAGGATCGGAATGCCATTTGTGTGGGTGGGCGGGCGGATTATATAGTGAGATTCATGTTTTAGTTGTGGACTAGATCATCACTCCCAATCATATATATATATATATATATACATATTATGTAGCTATATAATGTGGTTGTGCTGCCAATATAGGTGGCATACGGATCTTTGGCTTTAAGATCTCTTTCTTTTCAAGTGAAACATACAATCATATCAATCATGCCATAATTTGTGGTCCCAGTTCAACATGATAATTACATTCAGTCAATTTCTGTCATATATTTTGTTGGTTTAGTTTAGAACATTTTTTTGGATCATAGCATTCGATGATGGGACAATTTTTTAACCGGAACCCCCTACCCTCTGGTAAACTAACATAACTATGGAAAACCACCATTTTTAATGGGAAAATCCACTATAAATGGCCATTATCAATAGTTATGTTAGTTTACCAGAGGGTATCTTTGATGGTAAAAAACCCATGGGTTTCCGGTGAAGATTTTCCCACCAATCCATCTCTGGGATGATCAAAAAACCCCTCCAGGTCGAGCTGGACCTGGGTGACGGCGGCCAATTTTCGGTGGCGGGGGAAGCCCAGAAACTGAGGATGTCGTGGGATGTTCTAATGGTTACCCTCTGGTAAACATACAAACAGCTATTGAAAATTGCCATTTATAGTGGATTTTCCCATTGAAAATGGTGGTTTTCCATAGTTATGTTAGTTTACCAGAGGGTATCCCACATGAATCTCCCACGTGAATATCCCACATTTTGTGAAAAACTTTGTAACTAGAACTGGATTGTATTGGATTTGATATTGTATCTGTATATTGATGCTTGACTGGATTACTGTTATTCGTTTATCATTACTGTTTATCATATCATCCTATAGTTTTTTTTGTTATATTCATATATATTCATATTGTAAATCTTATTGCGCTATTCGGATTCTAAAGAGGATGATAATCGTGGTTCATAGACTTTATGAACTACGAACGGGGATGCACGCCCACCGTGCATGGGTAAATCATTTCGTTTTGGTGGGTGTCATACCCACATTTCTTTTTCTAACCCTCTATGCACTGTAGCTGATATTTGCACTAGCAAAGCTGAATCCAGCCAAGAAAATGGTGAGTATCACCAGAAGACATGCAACCAGCAGACACGAGGGTTTTGCCAGACACATATGATATGAATCAACATGAATCAACAAACATGCGCTGACACCCTGAAAATTCAGTGGAACCTGAAAATTGTGCCTCCAAACCACCAATCTGCGGCTGCCTGTACAGTACCTGGTACAACCAGCTATCACAAGAGTTGTTTCATCCTAGAAGCCGGTGGTAAACATCCCCAAAGTGCGTGAATATGCGTGAATGCTCACGCAATTTTTGAAGGAGGAAACCAGCTTGATGGTATTCTTGTTGCGGTTCCCGGATCGTATTCTTGTTTCATGTCCTGAGGTGAGCATTTCCAATTGCATCGCCAAATGGTAGAGGCAGCTGGACCTGGAACCGAAGTTGGGGAGTGGAATCGAACTTCATATTAGCACATATTAGCGCCAATACTAGTGTACATGATTGTATAATATTGTATACATGGAACTGGAATATTCATGTCCCAGCTGCTGATTATGTACCATAACTTCAGGGATAATTCCTGTACCATGTGTACTAATTATGTACAATTATATATATGATCCAATTATATGCACATGCATATAAGCATACACACTTAACTACTCACATACATACACTACATTGAATTGCATTTCATTACATCACAATATATTATATTACATTCTTGTGCCTACATTATATATCATTATATTATTTCCACATAATTCTATGGTTATATGATGTTATATGTACACATATTTCTGCAGAGATGTCCAGACAAGTGGCTTATTTGATGCCAAGACACAGGCAACTGAGCTGCCATGGCCATCTTGGGCAGCGAGGTGCTCCTGGCCCATGGCCCACAAGAGGAGGTGCCCTTGGACCGCCAATATACCGCCAATAAAATCATGGCATTGTCCATTATAAACCATCCGTTTGGGGGTAGCCCCATTTATGGAAACTTCTAATATGAAGCTGTAATAGTGGTTATATTGGCAGCGTAATTAGACCATGTTATTTAATACTAGCTTGATATTAGCATATCTAATGGTGTATCATTAGTATATTAACCAGATCATGGATATCTAAAGGCAAGTTGGGCTAGTACAATGAGATAACTGCTAATAGTTTGCCAATAATATACCTATATATAATTGCATATTGCGGAATAACTGGACTTCACTATAATGGGGGTATAATGGGATAATGGGATATTTAGGGGACATAATTCTGGGAAATATCAGGCGATACGATTGGCTATAGTCGGCTATAGTGGGGGATATAATCGGGTATGAGGGGACTTTTGCCAACATAGGCTAGGTATAGAATTGGAGAGAATGGGTAAATGAATTTGCGTAATTACATAGTTCTGTAGCTTGAATGATATAGTCATAGTATTATTAAATGGTTTATTATACGGGTGACTCTCAATGTTACATGGGATTTGATTTTGATATGTTGTAGCTTGATAGACCAACGACGGGTCAAACCCAAGCAATTGGGCACCACCTTGAATCTTGCACTCATAAGAGTTGAACAGCGATCAAAATCTGTGACGGTCCCGATATATCCAAGTCACAAGAGTATCAATTTTGACACCACGGAAATGTTTCCCAAACCTTACGAGTGTTTGATAGTCGAAAGCCACAGCTTGCTGACTAGACATGGTTTGCATGTGCAAGAGATGTATCTGTTGCTGTTTGTGTTGTTGCCTGCACAATATGAGTGAGAACTTGCTTCTGCTGGAATGATGTAGAACTTTGCGCAACCCCCTTTTTTTTTGGCCCAAGCCTTGAAAATAGCACCGTACATGCCTGGTGAATCCAATCCCATGGGTTGGTCGTATGTAATTTTTGGTGTTCACTCCCACAACACCGCAAGTCTAAATCGTCTAAATCGTACTGTACGCTGGTGAAATGTCTTGTTGGTGGAGCCATGATACAGAATTTCTATCAATTTCTTGTGATTGGTTGCAACAAATCTAAACAGTCTACACATAATTGAATACACATACATACAATCACAACAACATGTATGTATGTGTGTGTGTGTGTTTGTAGATATATGATAATTATACGCTGTTTGTAGTTACATACAGTCGTCATTCATCCATACACATGCACCTACACCTACACAGTTAGATACAGAGTTACATACACGGTATGTACATACTGTACGTGCACATACATATACATATGCATATGCATATGCACATACAAAGATACATACGCCTGCATGCACGTACATACCCAGACCCATGGCCATGGCTGGGCAAGGCCTGCCCAAGTCCAACAATGTGTCTATATGATATAGACACATTGTTGGACTTGGGCAGGCCTTGCCCAGCCATGGCCATGGGTCTGGGTTGTAACTATGTGATTCCCATGGTTTATTGGGAAGGAACAGTCCTCACTACAGTGATTCAATTGCTGCCATCAGTCTGTGGGCCAAACGGAGCTCTTGATTGGGGTTTCACAGCCATGGCACCGAAGAGCAAGGATTCATTGTTCCTAACTATTCGGGAATCTTGAATCAGACTGCTGCACAGGGGTAGACGGGAAGGGCACAAACCAAGAGCTTGGACATGTTTGAGACTGAGTTTAAACCTTGACAGGATTCATGCTCTCCAGCAGTGAGTCAAGCAGGGAGACTGGGTAAATGTATGTATGACTTGTTACAAATCAGGACAGCAAGTTCTTGACAAGCACTTGAATATCCTGACCATTTTTTTCATGTGAGACAGCAGTGAAGCAGAACCTTCAAGACCAGGGCTCATTCTGGGAACATACACCCTAAACCTGAACTGACAAGTGGCGACCCCTTGCGTTTTTGAAGTGTTTCTGCTGGAAACCTTGCTTGACAATGAACGTTTTTCTGGTGGCCTAAGAATGGCAGGAGGATCCCGATCGGCTCATGTTTGTTTGCGGTGTTGAAACGATCAAGCTGTAGAGGTGAATTAATTTCGAGCTGTACAGGGGTGATCAGTCCAGTGTTGGAGCATGTTGGAGCGTTTGCAAGCAGGGTCATTGCAAACAAGCTATTAATGTCAACCCTGGATTAATAAACCCCTAGGCTGTTTAATTGGGAAGGTACCATTTAAGTATTAGATTTTGACTATTGGAGGAGTACCCCCCTAATTAATAAACTATGGTTTATTAATCCGGGGTTGACATTACTGAGGATGGCGATCTCAAGAGCGCAAAGAAGATCATCACAGGATCTTCTTTGCAAACTCTTGCCATGCGTGGCTTGGCAAATGGGTTTGTTTTTCAGGCTGGAATCCTTAAACAGAACGGGATGAAAACTAGTTCTCCATTTTCTCTGTGTCAAATAAGGCTTTTTCCAGGCACCCAGGACGCACGAGAAGAATTGCAAAATGCGTCCATTTTGTTGAGGCGATTTGGCATGCTTCAGCAAGCCTTTGGTTTGTTGAATCGTTTGCGGCCTAGTTTTCTGAGGCACGCAGATGGGGCAGACGCCCCTTTTCTTCGCAGCAGCCCGCCGCCGCCAGGCTGGCCAAGCAGCTCAAAATAATTCTGTCAAGTCCATGGAACTATGGAGGACGGTGTTGACAATTTACTGGGACTCGCGATGCCGTGTACCTGGGTTATAGCATGTTACAACCCTATGAAACAAAACCTGTTGCCTTATTCGAAAAGCAAAAAGCAGGGTTCGTCTCTTGGCGGCCTGGCATTCAATTCTCTGCAGGCGAAATCGCTCTGCGAGATGCTGGTCCAGCGCGGCATATCCGTGCATCATAAGGACGTGGCTTGGCACAGTTCCTGAAGCGATGCTAGAAGATGTTAAGGGGCAAATTTTCCGATTGGTTTTGGCTCAAAATTATTTACGCCCAAATGTGGATGGTATTTTGCTGGTTCAACATCTCATTTTTGAGCCCCCTTCAAATCGTGCCAAATCCAGTTTCATCTGGCCAGGGAGATACACACACACAAAGAGCAAGTTGTTGCCTATCCTGTTGGACGGAGAATCTTCCAAAGTGGGGTTCAGCCATGAGGGGATTCAACTCACAGAAAGAGTAGACCAACGATGATGAATGTCAATAGCCGATTGGCACTCTCAACCGTGCGATTTTTCCATGAGGAATCCAAGCGCTTTTGGCAAGGGTAATTAGTTTGAACACATTCAACCGTTCAACCACCAATCAGACAGTGATGCCTTTGAGATTTGGTAGGTACGGACCCAAACTCGGTACCTCCAAAAAAGATGGGTTGATGCTGTAGATGATGAACTTTGTGTGGGCTTGCTGTTGCACGCCGTCGTCTCCACTCGCTTCCGGGAGCCAAGGGAAATTCGCAAACTGCCCTCTTTTACGCATCTCGACAGGGCCATTGTGAGATAATTCAATACCTGATGAGCCAGGGCGCGGACCCCAACGTTGTGGACGAGTTTGGGGAAACTGCGCTGCTGGGCTGCGCTGCTACAGTTGTTTGTTTTGGGGGGATGGTGGACAAGAATCTGCTGAATGGGCAGGGAGCAAGCAGTTTGTGTGACTGTGAGTCTTATCGCTAAGAGATCGCATTTTTGTTTGGCCGCTCTTTGTTCAGGTTTGTCCTGGGTCAAATTCCGAATCCCGAAAAAAGAGGGTACCCTAGGATATGACGGATGGACAGCATTTTGTGAGCCCAAGGGTCCAAACAATTTTGAGCCACAGCAAGACGGTTGAAACTCATTATGACATGCCGGTAGTGCCTCTCTGAGGTTGTTTTATGCCGTCAGGAGTAAGAAGACAGCTGCGGCCACGGCCTTGTTGGAAGGCGGTGCGAATCTGGAAGCGCCTGGGCGTTGGAATGGGAAGCGCCTGCCACATGCAAGGAACACCACGTCTCCAGAAAATAGAAATGTGGTAGGAGTAGGGTTGGCTGACATGTATTTGTATGGGCCTTCCAAAGGCCAGGTGAAACTTGGCCGTTACACTAACAGCTGGCCGTTACCTAAAGACCATCGAAAACCCACGGTATTTATTTATATATATAAATTTATATACTGGTTAAAGACTACAACATACACCAAAAAATGAGTAAAATTTAGGCGCACGTTTTTGGTGGCTTTTCACGGGTTTTTCACGGCCGTTTCACGGGTTTTTCACGGTCGTTTCACGGACTTTTCACGGTCCAGATTTTGTGGGAAATTTCAGGTAGGTACTTTCTCCAGATCATATTATGTTTTGTATTTGGTGACATCATGATCTAAGATGCAGACGTTTGCGCAGAGCCCGTGCTCCCAGGCGCATTTTACTTGCATCGACTTGAACCAAATGGCCTTTTTATCCAAATATCTAGTGACCATCATTTCCCAACATGACATGTGAGCTTCCTGGACAAAGTAT